TGGGATGGGGGTGAGGGGGGAGGTGTAGGGGCAGGTGTAGCACTTCCTGCGGTTGCAGGGAAAAGTGCCGGGTATGATGGGGCTGGAGGGGAGTGTGGAGCGGACAAGGGAGTCCCAGAGAGAGTGGTCCCTCCGGAAAGCAGATAAGGATGGGGAGGGAAAAATGTCTTTGGTGGTGGGGTTGGATTGCAGATGGCGGAAGTGTCGGAGGATGATGCGTTGGATCCGGGGCTTGGTCTTTTGTCTTCTCGTTGTGCACCCAACTGCTAAGATTTACTGCTTGTGCATGGTTGCTGGCATCCCTGTGCTTGGATAGGCTTTTTTTTTTCGTTTGTTTATGGTATGCAGGCATCACTGCCTAGGTCAGGCCATTGCTTGTTGCCCATTGCTCTCTTTTCCCTGAGAAGATAATTCTGTGCTGCCTTCTTGAATTGCTGTTGTTCTTGGGCTACAGAGATCCGTAGTGGTGTTAGCATGGGTGTGCCAGCATTTTGTCCCAGCGACTGTAAAGAAGCAGTAATATAGTTCCAAGTCAAGCTGGTGAGTCACTTGGAGGTGAACTGGCAGGTTGTGATGTTCCCATGCATCTCCTGCCTTTCTTGGTGGTAGAAGTTACAGGATTGCAAGGTACATTGGAAGGAGGTTGGATGAGATGCTAAATTGCACCTTACAGTTGATGTACACAGCTGTGTATGGTAATGGAAAGATTGACTATTCAAGGTAGTGGATGGCTAGCAAGCAGGCTGCTTTGTCCTGGATGGTTTTGAGCTGCTTGCGTGGTTGGAGCTGCACTTAATTCAACAAGTGGAGAATGGTGCGTTCTGCTCTTGGGTTGTTCCTTGTGTACGACCAGTCCCCCAGCAACATTCCCAAATTTTTTGATTGTAGGCTGGGTCCGCTAACAGTTATGCTCCCATGTGGGGAGGAATGAATCTGTTCCCCATCTTTATTCAGCTAAACCCTCATTTGCTTATGATTAATTGACAAACTTCTGTTACTAATGCCTTTGTGAACTTGTGCTTTAAAAGCAGCCATTTTAACCAGGGTTTCTTGAGTTAACAAAGTGAATTTATTAATGCAACAAAAACACATGCACATGTTAGAAATAAAAGGCAAGTCCAAAAGATAAACATTAAAAAAAATACATCAGTTTCTGAGATAACAGTGTGGAACTGGAGGAAACAGCAGGTCAGCCAGCATCAGAGGAACAGGAAAGCTGACATTTCAGGTCGGGACCTTCTTCAGAAATCATCCCTGCCTTCTTGACATGACACAACCTGTCCATCTTCTCTCCCACCTATCCACCCCTCCCACCTCACTGACCAATCCCCACTACTGCCTACCTGCACACACCTATCACCATCCCACCTACCTTCCCCAGCCCCACTCCTCCTCCCTATTTATTTCTGAGCTCCCTTCCCCCTCCCCATTTCTGAAGAAAGGTCCCGACCTGAAACATCAATTTTCCTACTCCTCTGATGCTGCCTGGCCTGCTATGCTCCTCCAGCTCCACACTGTGTCCTCTTTGTCCTTTGAGTGTGTTTGATGAAAATCATTTTACTTGTGTCTTTAGTTTTCAACTTAATTGAGTTTTGCTTCATTTGGAATTGAATTATTTCTTCATATTTTATACTTCATTCTCTTCTGAAAGCGTATTGGATGAGGGGATTTAAAATTCTAACCTCAGTATCTTCTACATTCTTTGAGTGTTCCATCTGGCTTGATAATTTTGAAAGAAGCCACATTCTCATGTTAACAATGCAGCAACAACTTTGTTAAAGGCAGTGTACAGTATGATGAAGCATCTCATAGAGCTTCACAATAGCAATACAAAACAAGGTGCAACACTGTACCACATAGAGATATTTAGTCAGATGACCAATCAGTCAAAGAGGTAGTTGTAAGAGTCTTAAAGGAAGGAAGTGAGTTGGAGGAGCATAAAGACAGAATTCCAGAATTTGAGGCCAAACAGCCACGAACCATGCCAAAGTTATGATTAGTTATGAAAAAAGAGGCTGTTCCCTCTGTGCCTCCTCTATCCTCTCTTTCCCCCTTCTCTCTTTCTCCTCTCCCCAACCCCCAGCCTTCCCTCCTGCCCTCCCTCTCTCTTTCCCTTCCCTCCAGGCAGATACTGACTTGGTCTTTTCTTCGCAAGTTTATATTTAACTTTAACTTTACACATTCTTAACTTCTTTTTAGCTCCTAGAAGAGGAAAGTTTGAAGATCTGATCAAGCTTCATTTGTGTGCAGAACTGGCACTTCTGAAAGTTTTCATTTGTGATCAAAGCAAAAGAATTGCAGAAATAAGCATTGTAGGTAAGTAGTTAAAATCATGTTTCTATGGTTAATGCAGGCATTTTTCTAAGTCAGTTGCGAATCAAGGTTCACTGAGAAGTCGTAAGTACATTTGCTTGTTTAGAAGTTTGCATCTTGATATTTTGCTGTAAATTTTGGAAATTAATGTCCAGCAAGCAGTTTTGGCAAAATAAACATTCCTCCGGTTACAAATAGGGATTAGAAGTAGGAACGTATAAAGAATATCAAAAATTAATGTAAAATTGTTTACAATTATTTTAGGAAAAGTAGAGTGGTCAGGTGCATTGTGGACTCTTTGATTACTGATAGTTTGGATTTATAATTAAAAATAAGGAAATGGAGAGTCAATTCAATAATTGATCTGCATCCTATTTATAATGATGGAAGAAGTCAGAATGGCTGCAATCCCAAGAAAAATGCAGGCACTTAGCAAAATTACTGCAAGAAAATTAATGGTGTTGAAGGAATGTGTTCAGAGTAGCAGAAGGTGGGAAGTAGTATTCCACAAGGATCAGCGTTGGGACCACTGGTGTTCATACTTTACATAATTATGGCCCTTAGAATTGAAGATATAATTTCTAAATTTATAGATGACACCAAATTGAGGGTGAAAGCACTGATTATGTCTGCAAATAATTAAAGATGAATATTAATAAAATTGTGGAAAGAAAGAATTGGCAAATTAAGTTCAACATGGATAAATGAGTAATACTCTGAAAAGCAGAGAGGTCAGTTAAGAACTCTTTTCTACCCAAAGAACAATGAAGGATTGGTTTTAATTTGTAAATTCATTCAAAGGATGTGAGCATTTCTGACTGGGCCAGCATTTTATTGCCCTTGAGGATGGGGTCAGTTACCGAAATAAAACGAAAGAACTGCAGATGCAGCAAACAAAAGCTCCAGTAATCCTCCTCCAAAACTGATAGTAGCGAGGGAAAAGTTTTTTTTATGCAGAAGTTAGAGTTGGGGGATGGGGTGTGAAGGAGTAAGGAGTAAACTGCAGGTGCAGATAGAGCCCTGGGAAAGAGAAGAACAGTTGGATAAACAAAGGAGTGGATAACAGTCAGCCTAGGAGAATAAATGGCTGCTAATGGTGACTACTAGTGGCTAATAATGGATTATGTTTAATAGCAGACCATGTGATAACACGAGATAACACGGTGTGGAGCTGGAGGAACACAGCAGGCCAGACAGCATTAGAGGAGCAGGAAAGTTGATGTTTCGGGTCAATTCTGAAGAAGGGTCCTGACCGAAAATGTCAACTTTCCTGCTCCTCTGATGCTGCCTGGCTTGCTGTATTCCTCCAGCTCCACACTGTGTTATCTCTGACTTCAGCATCAGCAGTTAAATCTCCATGTGATAACAAGATCTGGTGTGCAGAGGTTGGAGTAAGGATATGGGAAAAGGTGCCTCAATCCCTAAAATTGTTGAACTCGATATGGAGTCCAGAAGGCTGTAAAGTTCCCAAGCGGAAAATGAGGTGCTATTGTCCCAGCTTATGCTGAGTTTTGCTGGAACAGTGCAGCGAACAGGAGACAGATATTGGCCAGGTATCAAGGTGATGTGCTGAAATGGCAGGCAAGTATACCAACTTGGACTATTTCTATCCCTGAGGTGTAGGGGCACCCACAGTGTTGTTAGGAAGGCAGTTCTATGTTTTTAACCTAGTGTCAGTGAAAGAATAGTGATGTAGCTCCAAGTTCCATAAAGCAATAAAATTCTAAAGGGACTAGTTAGTGAAATTCAACAAGGATGCTCCCCAAGGTCCGGGAATCCAGAACCAGGAGTCACAATTTAAGTGTACAGGGTAGGCCATTTAGGACTCAGAAGAGCGGAGATTTCTTTACCCAGAGTGGTGAGCCTGTGGAATTCTCTATCACAGAAAGAAGCTGAGGCTATAACATTGAATATTTCCAAAAAGGAGTACATGTAGTTCTTGAGGCTAAAGGGATCAAAGCAGGAAGACGATATTGAGTTGGACAATCACCCATGATCATATTGAATAGTGAAGCAGGTCATATGGCTTATGTCGACTCCTTAAGTCTGGATGGTGTGTGGGGCTTGGTGTCCTTGCAGGTGGTGATATTCCCTTCATTTGCTGTTCTTGTCCTTCAAGTGGTAGAAGTTGCAGTGTTGGAAGGTCTGATGAAGCCTGGGTAAGCTACGGCAGTGCATCTTGTATATGGCATCCATTGCTGCCACATGTATCAATGGTGCAGGGAATGCATGTTAACAGTCATGTGGATGGGGGTGATGTTCCAGTGAAACAAGCTGCTTTGTTCTGATTTATATTGAACTTTGTCAATGTTGTTGAAACTGCACACATCCAGGAAAGTAGAGAGTATTCCATCATAATCCTGACTTGTGCCTCAGAGGTGGTAGATGTTCTTTGTGGAGATAGGTGAGTGACACCCCTCAGAATCCCTATCTAATGACCCATTTTTGCACTACTGTATTTTTCTAATTGTTCCAGGTTTGTTTCTGATCAGTGGTAGTCTCAGGATGTTGACAGTTGCAGATTCAGGGACATTTATGCCATTGAGTATCAAGAGGAGATAAGATGTTCAAAGCTGAACTGGGTAGATATTTGATTTAAATAAAACAAGGTCTATATGGTGTAGCCGGGAAAGTGGTGCTAAGGCCACAATCAGATCAGGAACGATCTTAATTGATATTAGGGCAGGTTTGGTTTGGCTGCATGGCTGATTTCCGCTTAAAAAATTGCACTTGTCAATGTACTCTTTAAGAAAGATGAGAGGAAAATCTTGGAAATGAAGACCAATTAGTCTAATAGTTAATGACCACTGGTCTGTAATTAAGGATAACTTGACTGAAAACCTTTTAAGTTCTCAGCTGATCAGAGAAAGCCATTATGGATTTGTAAAGGATGAGCCTCTCAAAGCTGATTGTATTCTTTTGAAGAAGCGCCTCAAGTGATGAACAGAAGAATTGACAATGGGCAGAATTTTATCAGGTTCTGCGTGAGTGGATCTTGTATGCTTTACTCCATTGATGAGTTCCCAATTGACACCAATTTTGCCTGTTAAAGTCCTTGTCCTTATGAAGATCTCAACTAACCACAGGTTACAATCTTGCTAAACTTACCCTACAAACCAGCTGTGGGAGCTACTTGACATGGAAACCAGTTCAGCTTTTTGGTGGGTTTAACTCTCTATTTTTGTCCAAAGACTTCTGTGTTGGACACCAGGCACCAAAGAGCATACTCTATAGGCATTTGCTGTATGCACCCCACTTCCGTTGAAATTAACATCCAACAGGTGCTGACCTCTAGAAACTCTCATTGCTCATTTCCAGTCCAGTTTGAGGATGCTTCTGCACTTGAATGATATACATTAGGCTGTACTGGCAGCTGTCATTGTAATGCCGGAGCATGGACACTTTGTGTTCCAGTACATGCATCCCACTCATGGACTGGATGGACCAGGCTGCATCTCCAGGTTCCTTATTTGCTGTCATAGAGGTTGCTCACAGCACCGTGCCTTGCATTGCCTCACCTTATCTTATTGTGCCTTTAGCCAGAGATCCCATAGTACCAATGTCTTGCTGTTTTATTTAGTACAGGCATCCAGGCTTTGCGTTTGTCATTATTGTCAGCAGGCCTCAGTCCAGTCAAAGGGAATAGCCTTCATGCAGGATCCTGGCACATTAAGTTAATGACAGCCTCTGACATCAGTCTAAGTCCTGTTTGGGGCAGCACACATCTTGATTCTTTCTGCCCTATTGTGGACTGTTTTGCTCCTGGAATAAAAGAGGAGCAGGTTTTGCAGAAGATGTAAGTGGGTAGCACATGTATTGCTGTTGGTGCAGGTGATGAGTTTTCCCAAGAGTGTGAGTAAACTGCACAGAGACCATATAGCATGAGTGGTATTGTAGGTTGGGATGGCTGAGGGAATGTGAGGACCATGTTACATGCATTATCAAGGCGGATAGGGCATGAACCATAGTGGGAAGTGAGTCTAGTAGTAGTGGGAGAGAGGGAATGCAGAAGGACATTGACGTCCTTTCTACAGTGCTATGCTTTTCTACAGATTGCTCAGACTACTTTTAAACTGTGTGGTAACCTTGGGCTAGGCTGGAATGGCCTGGTGTTGTGGCCTCCGCTGCTGCTTCTGAGGAAGATGAAGTTCTGTCTGGGCCCCATTCGAGCCAGCCAGAGCTCCAGGGCGATGACCACAAAGTTGGGTTTATGTAAGGCAACCAGTTGGAATACCAGCCAATTAATTTAAACCAGGCACTTAGAGGCTTAAAAAAAAATTAAATTTAAATCTTACTATCTCTGATTGATTAAATTTAAATCTGATGGTTTTGACAACATAGAACCAATCTGATTCAAAGAAATTGATATGTCAGGAAGGTTATAAAAGAAGAGGGCATTTGAAAATTGGTGTGAGAGCAAGGTCCAACTGATAGAGTTAACAACCATCAGCTCTAAAGAGAAAATCACTCACTCTCAATTCTCTAAGCTCTGAGTAACCATCTAAAGGTACAGCAGGACTCTTAGCTAATATTACTGGCACAAGAATTTGACAGAGAAAGGCACTCTTGACAGAGGATTGGGGAGAAAGCACAGAACATTCCAGAAGACGTACCCTGGTTGTAATTTCGAGGTTTTCTTATTTTGGTTTATAGAAGTGGGATTTGTATTTATTGGAACAGCATACCATTAGAATTTTGTTTTATTTGGGAATAGTTAACAGTTAAGGGGGGATTTGTTCAGTTAATTTATTCACTGTTAGATTTAGATAAATAAATTGTTACTTGTTGATTGTAGAGTGAGTAAAAGGAGCTTATTTCATTTAACCACTCCTTTATAACAGCTTGAGGGTGAGAGGCAGGTTGTACTGCTTTTCACACTTCTTTTAACAGATTATAGGGCAAAGCGAGCCTTTCTGGGTGTTTCGGATCTAGTTATCAGGGGGAAGGTTTGACCTCCGTTTTATAACACACCTCAGTAATATATGGTCACTCTTTGTTGTTTAAATTCTGTCCAATCTTGTGACCTGCCACCTGTCTATGCAGAATGATATGCTTTTTCTTCAAGTTTGTTACCATTTTCAACATTTCTAGTTGCCCACCGATAGGTTAAAATTTTTCTTATTGGGTGGACGGTATCTATTTGTGATGTTTGAAACATCTCCTTATATGTCTGCCGCTGCATTTTTATTCACATATCCTTTAAATCTAATTTGCTTGTTTAGCTTTCATGCTGTGGCATATTCTAACAACTTGAGGTTGCTTCTACATGACGTGTTGGAGTCTGTTGATTCTGAAGATTATTCTTGGGTTTGTCTTTTGAGACTTTTCATGATCATCATGAAAAGACTGGGTTTGTTATTTCTGGGAGTCCTTTCCTTGCCAATTGCAAGCTGGTTTATTGGAGTCCATTTCTTGGAAGTGTACATCACTTGGGTTTAAAATAGAAGTGTATACATTGTTTGATCAGTTGGCACTCAATAAGGGTGTTACTAAGTGACCAAGGCATTATGAAGTTTCTGCTCATCATGATTCCATCTTAAAAACATTGTATTGTACCACCTTAAGATGTACTTTCCTAACTTTGTCTCAGTGCAAACTAAAATTGCTCCTTCCATAATTTTAAAGATTTAGCAGCTGCTGTTACGAGAGACCTTGACACATCAACTATCAGAGCCTTCTGTCGTTGGAACTTTCCGTACTGCACTGCATTGGATTTGTGTTCCAGCTTAAGAGTGCACTTTATCCGCCGTTTGATTAGGGAAATCTTTGGAAATTTCTGACATCTTGCAAAAAGTTCAATTCGAATAAAATTAGGAGATAGCAAGAACTGCTGATGCTGAAAGTTAGAGTTGGTACCGTGTGGAGCTGGAGAAACACAGCAGGTCAGGCAATATCAGAGGAGCACGGAAATTGACACTTCATGTTAGGACCCTTTTTCAGGACTGGGGAGGGGGAAGGGAGTTCATAAATAAACAGGGCGGGGGTTAGGGCTGCGGGAAGGTAGGTGGGATAGTGATAGGTGGATGCAGGTAGGGTGTTGTGGAGATTGTGGAGGAAGGGTGGTGTGGATAGGTGAGAAGGAAGATACAGGTTGTGTTAGGTCAAGAAGGTGGGGATGAGAGGGACGACTGGACATTGGATAAAGCTGGGGGTGGGATGATTTTGAAGCTGGTGAATTCTATGTTGAGTCCATTGGACTGTAAGCTCCCCAGGCGGAATATAAAATGTTGTTTCTCCAGTTTACGTGAAGCCTCCTTGAGACATTTGAGGAGGCCCAGAATGGACATGCCGCCAAAGGAGGGGGAGGGATGGTTGAAATGCCTGGCAGCTGGAAGGTCTTGTTGATTGGAGCGTACACGGCGTAGATGCTCTGCAAATTGGTCTCTGAGCCTGCACTTGGCCTCTCTGATGTAGAGGGGACAATGGATGCACTAGACCAGTTTAGAAGACATATAGGTGAATCCCTGTCAGATTTGGAATGATTGTTTGGTGCCTTGGACAGAAGTGAGAGGGGAGGTGTAGAGGCAGGTGTAGCACTTCCTGCAGTTGCAGGGATAGGTGCTGGGCGTGGTGGTGTTGGTGGGGAGTGTGGAACAGACGAGGGATTTGAGGAGTGAGCGGTCCCTATGAAAACCAGATAGGGGTAGGGAGGGGAATATCTCTTTTGGTGAGGTTTGATTGCAGGTGGTGAAAGTGGCAGAGGATGATGCGTTGGATTTCGAGGTGGTGGACTGGTATGTGGGATGTCTGGGAGTAGAACACTTCATCCTGGGAGCAGATGTGGCGGAGGAATTGGGAGTATGGGATTGCATTTTTGCAAGAGCGTGTGTGAAAGGAAGTGTAGTCAAGGTAGCAATGGAAATTGGTGGGTTTGAAATAGATGTCGGTGCTGAGTTGGAGACAGAGAGCCCCAGGAAGGTGGGGGTTGGTGGGGGGGGTGCAATGGTCCAGGTGAATTTGAGGTTGGGGTGAAAGATGTTGATGAGGTGGATGAACTTTTTGAGCTTCTCCATGGGAGCACAGGCAACACTGATACAGTCATCAACTTAGCGGAAGAGGAGTTGAGGGATGGTGCCAGTGTAACTTCGGAAGAGGGATTGTTTGATGTATCCTACAGAGAGGCAGGCATAGCTTGGGCCCATACGCGTGCCCATAGCCACCCCCTTATTTTCTATGAAGTGGGAGAACGTAAAGGAAAAGTTGTTGAGGGTGAAGATAAGTTCTGTCAAGTTGATGAAAGTGTCGGTGGAAGGGGACTAGTTGGGCCTGTGGGAGAGGAAGAAAGAGGGCTTTTAGGCCCTCCTCATGGGGGATACAGATGTAGAGAGACTGAATGTCCATGGTGAAGATGAGGTGTTGGAGACCGGGGAATTGAAAGCGTTGGAGAAGTTGGAGGGCACGGGTAATGTCTTGAACATAGGTGGGGAGTTCCTGGACCGGACATCGGGGGGAACGGGGTTGAGGTAGGAGGAGGTGAGTTCAGTGGCGCAGGTGCAGGCACAGACAGTGGGTCAACCGGGACAATCAGGTTTGTGAATTTTGAGTATACCATCTGGGGAGCTTACAGCCCAATGGTCTCAATATAGAATTCACCAGCTTCAAAATCTTCCCACTCCCGGCTTCTTCCCATTGTCTAACCCTCCGTCTCATCCCCACCACCTTGACCTGACAACCTGTCCATTTTTCCTTCTTACCTATCTGCCCCACCCTTCCCACTGATCAGTCTCCACAATCCCTACCTACGTTCACATATCACTATCCCACCTACCTCACCCCATCCCCACCCCCGCTTTATTTGTTTCTGAGCTCCCTTCCCCCTCCCCAGTCCTGTTGAAGGGTCCTGACCCAAAACGTCAACTTTCCTGCTCCTCTGATGCTGCCTTACATCCTGTGTTCCTCCAGCTCCACATTGTATAATTTTTGATCATTAGTGCTCTATCTACAAATCTGTACAGCTATGTGTACTCTTAGAAACTGATATTGCTACAGTGTGAGAAACTCTACCTTTGTCACACTTCTTTGTCAAAAGCTGTTGTGCAGCCTTTCTTCAGTTACTTTTTCAAATATCTGCCATCAGATATCCCCCACCATTGCTGCCATAGTGTGAGTTTTTCTCCAACAGTGTGCTTTCCCTGATGCTTAATATTATCTTAGTGACATCATACGCTAAGCAGGTAGATCTTAAACAGTGAAAATGGAATACAACTTATTGATTTATATGACTTTGGTAGATTACCCATTCTTCTTAATTGTAGAGAAGTGATCCTTTGACTTCTTACATGAATCTTCATACGGGGTACTGGCATTGTCTGCAGATAACTTTCCTCCCCCTTCATGGTGTTTTGACTTTTTTTCTCTTGGTCATTAGTGGGTTGTGTGCATTGCTGGCAAGGCCAAGATTTATTATCCATCACTAATTACACAAATTGAACGGAGTAGCTTATTAGAGATAGTAGGAACTGCAGACGCTGGAGAATCCGAGAATAACAAGGTGTAGAGCTGGACGAACACAGCAGGCCAAGCAGCATCAGAGGAGCAGGAAGGCTGACGTTTCGGGCCTAGACCCTTCTTCAGAAAAGAAAA